GTGAAAGAGATGGATGTAGCCTACAGGATCTACCCAGACTTTATAAAAAAGAATAAACTCCCAGGGAAAACCTACTTAAAATTCACGAAATGATCTACCAGAGAACTGATGCTAAAATCTACAATGGGAAAATCTTTAAAAATTAAGAATGAAGAGACAAAAATACTAAAAAACATTCCCTTTGAAGTCAGAAAACGGAGGAAAGTATACAGGATGCAAAAAAAGGGAGTACCATATAGATGGTTATTCCTGGAAGGACTGAGTTTTAATTACTTGGATAAAAAATACAAAATTGACTCTGTTCCAAAAGCTGAAAAATGTATGGATCAAATGTTTAATCCAAAATATAAAAAGAAAGAAAAGAACTCTAAACCGGATCAGGAGGAAGACGAAGATGTTGAAGAAGATCCCTATTCACAGGATTCAAAAAGTACTACTTCCACATCACCAGAATAATCAGAATTGGAGAAAGGAGCAGCCGCCCCTAAACCCAAGAAAACGAAGAAACTTAGGAAGAAAAGACTCTAGAACAAGAACAATAGTTCTTAAAGGCAGAATTTGTGCTAAGCTATTAAATGCATACTCTTAAAGCAATACTGCAATGAATTAAATTGTACACCAAACTTGTAATGTTAGGTCAATAAACCTTATTTTTAGCTAACAAGATCGTGATATGAATTAGCTCTCCTTTCCCCAAACCAATAGATGATATAGTTTAAGATAGTGGTCTCCTTTCCCCATCAAGTAGTTTCTATGTATTAGTCTATCCGTTTCCCATTTCCCATAGTTATAGTGTTAGGGCATAGTTTCCCTTCCCCTTTCAATCTTTAGTTGTAGTTTTTTGTAGTTTATAGAAAATGCAAATAAAAAAATCCCCTTCGGGGGCAAAAAAAGAAGAAGCTAAAACAGAAGTAGGGTCTCTGAGCTTAGTTGCCGGAGCATCTGGCAGCTAAAATACAGCCAGAGGATGGAAGTGCTCTGTCAGCTAGGCAAGAATGCCAGTGGTATTCATCCCAGGTTTGGCTAGCACAGGGGGTTCATACTGCCTTTTAATGACACAGGCCAGTGCTGCACACTTCTTTTTCTCTTCTATGGTAATTCAGCGAAGTCCAAGCCCCAGATATCCTCAGGCCTTGGTTGCTTTGATACATGGCCAGATCAATTCACATGGCTCATGCCTGGCCATGTATAGAGAGAGTAGCCATGAATGAGCCACACATGGATCACCGCTGAGTGTATATCTCTGAGGTTCTATTCTACTGTGTGATTGTTCAGTAAATAAATACCCAGCTGCGAGTACTATAATCTCTATTTACCTAGAGCTACTCCAAAACTAATTTACAGGTTTTTCCCCCCTGCAAACAGAAATCTTAGGCAATTTACCTTGCTGTGTAAACAGAAGAGTTCCACCCTTCTATAGAAAGCCATTTTCTAGGTTTGTACGATTTTTCATAATGTTGTAGCCACTGTGATCCCTTACGCTGAATGAAAAAATGACCATCTTGCTAGACCAGTACACCTTCATTGCTCAAGACATTTGCTTAATGGACACTGAGAATACGTTGATGTTTTTAGAACTTCCTAGCATAGTGGGGGCTAAAGGAAGAGTGGTGAGGTAATGGAAGGATTTTGGAATTTGCATCTGACCCCTGCCTGGATTTTGTCGATTGGCTGTCAAGAAGTAGCCTTAGGGAGCTGGAAGGATGTGTTGTTGTTGGGGGGGGGGGTGTCTGATGGTGCTTTGCTTCCTTCACTGCTCTACATATTCAGGTATTCCATTCAGTACAGTCTTTAGTACCCTGTAAGGTGTCTATAGTACCTTCTACCCTTTAGGGAAGTAGATGGCAGCAGAATAAATTTCTTATACTAGATGTAGATGGGACAAACCTCTGTATGCAGGTAAAGTTACTAGGCAAATCACAGTGTAATCCTAAGCATGTCTACCCAGAAGTAAGTCCCATTTTATGCAGTGGAGCTTATACGAAGGTGCATGTTTTTTAGGACTGCAGCCTAAATGCCTACATGTTTCCTCATATGTAACCTCAAGGAAAGGAGAATGATGCAGGTCACTAAGATCGCACCATTCAAAGAGTGCTCCTACACTGCCTGACATAAAGCTACCTGTGATCTGGGATCTCTTCTGGATCAGGTCTGGAGTACTGGCAGAGAAGTGTTAAGCCTTTCCCTTGTGCTGTTTCTTTTAACATAATCCCCCTGCACTCAAAGCTTTTAATGCTAAAACTGGAGCTCAATTATTGTATGGAGTACCCCTCTGGATAGATGCAATTGACACTTCAGTGGAACGTGTCCAGTCTACCTTTTTGTGAAAGATCATGGGGGTACCCATGTATGTTCCCTATGCTGCCTTATGTTTGGAGTGCAGACAGAATTTGATGGCTACTAAGGCATGGATCCACACCATTAAATTTTGGCTGTGACTCCACTTCAACTCTGACCCCTCTAGTTATCTGTATCAATTACTTTCTGAATCTGTCAATTCTAGCGGACTATCTCACATTGAAACCAAAGCATGCTCCTTGAACTTACCCTTAGAATCTCTATCCTTGCTTTCTGAGCTTGAGGCTTTAAAAAAAAGAAAGTAGTTTATTGGGTTCAGAATTGCAAACTCTCTATAGTTTGACTAACAGAACCTGTTCTCCCCTGAATTTAGGGATTGTTCCAAATGCAAATCTTCCAGCTGTATATCTTTATCAACGTATAGCTCCAAATTTGCGCAGAGCCAGCTCCTTGGCCAGATTTAATGTTCTTCCTTCTGCTCTTCTCTCTGGCAGATTCCAGGGGATTCCCTACTTCAGCAGGTGTTGTCCTTGTATGAAGGACTGTGTTGAAACTGTCCCCCATGTTCTCCTTCAATGTCCCTTTTATTTGGGGCCCCGCCAGGATCTTTTGTACCCTATATTAGCTCAATTCCCAGAGATTCATGACAATTTTAAGGTTCTGTTTTTACTTGATAATCCAGATACGGAAATAACAGAAATAGTAGCAAGGTTTCTTCTTAGTTAGGCTATACGTTCTGATAAGTAACCACTAGATTTTTCTGGTTTTATGCTGTTTTCCTGCGCCATAGCTCCAATTTTATCCTATATGGATTTGTATTTTCCGATCTATATTTAACCTGATCTCCTATTGTATGCATAGACATATGCCAATAAAGGCTTGTCAAAGTCAACATAATCCCCCATATGCTGAGTGGTGGTGGCAATACAGTTACATGTTTCTGTCTTTTTTACATCCAACGGTCTGTTAGCCGAACTGCTTTATCTACAACAGCTGGCAGACTAAATTTATATCTGGATTCTTTGCCTGTGTATACCGAAGTCCAATCCAGTCCAAGGTTTTGCCAGTGAGAGAGGCGAGACTGGTGTGTTCCAAAACAATCTGTCTTTTACTTAGAAATATATATATATCACATACACACAAAATCAGATTCACACATACAATCAATCAAGTTCATTAGAAATACAGTATTAAAAATAGTTCCTTTTATTTAGGATGTAGGTAGGTTACAGTTCGTACTTATCTGTCCTGAAGCCTTGTCTGTTGCAATGAAGGATGAAGGGTACAGAAAATAGAACCTAGGGATGTTTCTAAATCACACTGCTAGAACCAGCCAGCAAGTGTGGACCTCTTAGCTGCGCACACCAAGAGAGCAAGTAGACAAAGGATTTTGGTATAGAAAGCTGAACATTAGAGGGTAAAAGCAGACAGGGGGTGGGGGGGGGAGATGCGGCTAGCAAAGACCATGCACATGGTCCTTAGTTTTTATAGGTGAATCTTTGGGTGGGTGGCAACAGTGCCATCTTCTGGATCCACCTACCTGTAAGTCCGTCCCATCCCTGACTCCATTGGTGCATGGGGTAAGGGATGGCTACCTAGGGGTTTGGCCAATATTGAAACTCTAGTCTCTCTCAAGAGTTGGCATCTGGTGAAATGTGAAAGTTTGGTGTCAAGGATTCTTCTTGATGTGTAGATGGAGTTTGGCCTTTCCCAGGTAATCAGAGGCATCTGGGAGGAAACAGTCAATTCAGATGTAAAGCAGAGATGTGTATACGTGTCTTTCAACAGTCCATCAATGGGGGATTGCTTGTCCTTAAGCTGTTGGTTCTGCTAACACAATGGCGATGTGTGCTTCTTCTTCCCCTCAGGCTAGGAGCTGTGTATTTGAAACCTCATTAACATGTAAGGCTTAGAGCAAATCACTATCTATGTGTATCTCACAAGTGACTTGTACAGCGTTCTTTGAGCCTATGGGTGTATGTGTGCACAGTCCATGTAGTGTGTTGGCAGCAAATATAAATCCATCAAGCAACAGGTTTAATAGCTGCTTGGGGGGGGTCAGAGAAATGGTGTTGGGGGAAAGGGTCCATCCAGCTCTACTGTGGCCCCTGACAATTTTGTGCTTTTGGGGCTTAAATTAACACTAGTGTATGTGTTCTGGCCACCCAGACAAAATGCTGAGGTACCCATCTCTGGACTCTCCATATCACTGGTGAATATTAAGTTCCTTGAGAAAGAACAGGAAAGAGAAACAGGGAGAGACTGCCTCTTACTTCCTTCACCCACAATCATAGTTCATATGGTATTTCTGTATCTCTCATATTTCCAAAGAGAATGAAGGTGTGGGATGCACTGACAGCATACTGACATATTATACATATTCAAGAAAAGATCGGCAGAATAGTAGCGCATGAAAGAGAAGTTTTATAATAAGTAGAAAATCTGACATGAAGCAAGTTATTTGTTTGGTTTTATTTTTTACCAGTATCTCTGTTTTCATGCAGATGGACCCTATGGACTTACAGTGAATTCTGAGAAAGGTCAGAAAATAGGGAAGGTGTTTACATTTGATAAAGGTGAAGCAGTCCAGTTTTATTGCTCAGCGGATTCCAATCCACCAAATACTTATTCATGGATCCGGAAATCAGAGAACTCCACACATGTAATTACACATGGAAGATACCTGGAAGTTGCATCTGAAAAGGTGACACAGAAAGCAGAAGAATACAGGTGCAGTGCATACAATTACATGACTGGAAAACGGGATGAAACTGGCGTCTTTGTGGTAATTATACCTATAGGTAAGAATGAATGTGTGTATTGTCTACCACAAGGAGTTCAGGTTGTCCTGATATTCATTTATCCTCAAAACAACCTGGGAATGTAGATTAACCTTAGAGACTATGACTGACACAAGGTCACCCCATGAACATTATGGTTGGCTAGTTTTAACTTCCATTGCCTTACACAGACTTAGTCTAGCAGTCTAACTGTACAAAATTCACACTTAAAACCAGTGTCAGTAAACCCAGCTTTCATATTAGGGACAGATCCATACCAGGCTTAAATTGATTTTAAAAGACATTTTGTCACTCAAGGTATCCTGGGAATAGTAACGTGAAGAGAGGACAGGTTGTCCAACAGAGTTCTTAGTACCCTTAGCAAGAGGAAGAGGAGGTCAAGGAGGGATGATGCAGGAGTCCTTCAACATTAAAGAAATTTTTAAAAAAAGAAAAAGAAAATGTACAGGTTCATGCATCCATAATCCAGACTGAATTGTTGGCCCTCAAAGAAGAAAAATGTGCTATTCCTGGGATGAGGAAGTGCTAAAATGTTTCTATCTTGAAAACTAGCATTATTGTATGTGCCCCCAAATCCATTGTAATAGTACTTTATTCAGTGTCTTTGAACACTACAATGTGGTGAGGTATTTGCATACCTCCCCCCAACCTAAGTGCAGGATTGTTCTAGTAGTATTTCCAAAATCTGTAGCCTGCAATGATAAATCAAGTGAGATCTGCATTGGTACATTGATGTATGTACTGGGAGCACCCAGTTCTGTAGTATATATCGAGTATAAAGGGGTGGGAGATTCAGCTCATAGCTTGGATGGGAGACAACTGGGAGCCCCACAGCTTTTCCAAAGGAAGATCAGGCTATAAGTAAATAATAAGTGTTTGTAAATACAAGAGAAATGCCAAGTTTGTTAGTCTTTCCTATCCTGTGTTCTTGTCTCACTATTTATAAGATATTAGCAGGATTATAGTTAGGGGAAGATTGTCCAGATTTCATGAGATCCAGAAATTTCCCAGAAAAACATTTGATAGGAGGATAATAATGTCTTACATATTTTCCTGTTAGTATGAAATAGAAACTTTTCCAGATCCTTTAGCCATTACCACAATGCAAATTAAGACATTAGCATGTTTCTTACAGGATATTTCACTAGCTTGTTTGATTTGCACAGCAGAAAGAGCTGATTCCAGTGGGGTGGCTGTGTTGGTCTATTGTTGCAAAGCAAAACAGAATTCATGCTTAAGGTAAACATGGACAGCAGCTGTCTGTTGTATAGACGGATTTAATGTGATCTCAAAAGATGAAAGTTTTGAGCTTTCAGAGGCAATAAAAGAAAAATGCATTACAATTTTACAGGAAAACAAGTACAGTTAAAGAGAGAGAGAGAGAGAGAGAGAGAGAGAGAGAGAGAAAGATGCCTGTGAAGGAAAAGCACAAACCAAACTTTTGTGATGCATTAAAAATAAATTTTTAAAAATATTTACTTTAAAGCCTGAAAAGATCGTGAAGTCTTCAAGATCTGTATCTGTACATGAATGTCTTCAAGCTTTTCAGAATATGTTTCCAGTGATATCTGAGCTACCACATATTTATTAAAACTGTTGTTGTAGCTTCAAATTAGTCATGTATCTAGGGCTGCCAGCTCTGGGCAGGGAAATATTTGGATATTCTTCTTTCCCTTTTCACAAGCAGAAAAGTTGGCTGGAGACAAGCTCATGTTTAGGGCAGCCTAGGACTCCATAGCTACCATAACAGTCAACGATGGGCCTGATGTACATTAGAACCAACATAGAGCAGGCCATAATTAGGGCATACTAAACTGCCACCAAATGGGTGGCACTCTTCAACAAACCCCAAAGGTCAAAGCCTCTGTGGGATTGATAGCCTCTCTGGGAAAGCTATATTCAACAAGAATTCAGTATTAGAAGCTGAGTTGGAATTATTATTTAAATCTATTCTTTGTTTTCCTGCAAAATGCAAATCATATCTTTATGCATTGTATACAGTTCACACCTAGCTATGTTGACACTATTTCATTCATCTAAATTTATTCACGTGAATATTTATGGGTTTTTCTTTTTTTCAAAACTTTTGCTGTTCTGTAGTAGAAGAGATTTCAAATAAAATAAATGAAAAAAATTCATGAAACATGGGCCAGCTGTAAAGCTTTGACCTTCAGACTTTTTAGAAACTATGACTAATCATGGTACTGGTTTCTATGATGTCAATATTAGCGTGTTTGCAAAAGGAAGCAACATTCATAGGTTCTTATCTTGCAAAGCAGGGCCTTAATTGACAAGAGAGTCAGCCATAAATATGGGCTATATTGACAGATAAAATATCATTCCCATGGCTGTCTCTGCTCTAGAGAAACATCTCAAGATGTTGATGTCACAGTACAAATACCATATTGGCAAAAACACCAGTGATAACCAGTCAAGAACTGTGGTATGAATCAAGCCACCATGAGGAGATATATAAATATTTTAATAATAAATGTTTGGTTGGAAACATGTACTATAATCAGAAGATTTAAAACAAATAGAATTGTTATCTCATCTATGATAACTCCAGATGGGTAGTTGTTAGTCTGTAACAGCAGAATGAAAGAGAGGCCAGTGGCAGTTTAAGACTAACAAAAGTTTATTCAAAACGAGATCAAATCCAAAGAATCCAAAGTGAACTGATTACTTTTTGGAATGGATCTTGTTTTGAACCAGCCACTCTTTGTAGTATCCTGCTTCATTTCCACTGCATATATAATTTGGCCTGATGGACTTACACTCCAATGCATCCAATGAAGGGAGCTCTGACACAAGAACTTGTGCTGGAATAAATTTTGTTGGTCTTTAAGGTACCACTGGACTCCTCTTTATCTCATCTGTGGAACTCTGTCAGGGATTCAGATGTCAAGGAACCTCATGACAGCTATTTAAGAATGATTCAACACAATGAGTGATTAAAATGTGGCGTTTGATTCATGAAGGAGAAGTCTATCAATGACTACTAGCCATGGTGACTAAAGGGAACCTCCACATTCAGAGGCAGTAAACTTCCGAATCCCAGTGCCAGGAGACAACATCGGGGAAAGACCTTGGCCTCCATGTTCTGTTGTTGCCCCTCCATAGTAACTGGCTGGCCACTGTGTGAGTCAGGATGCTGGCCTAGATGGACAACTGGTCTGATCTAGCAGGGCTTTTCTTGCGTTCTGAAAAGCTCATCATATATTACTGGTAGAACATGTAAACGACTAGAAACTATCTACCTTCAAACATGCAGTTAATCCCTACATTACAGTCCCTCCATCATAGCATCTGAGAAATCTGGGGAGTGGCCATCCTTTCCAGAAGCTAAAATTGTCACTGGAGAGCCTTCTCTGGTAATTCCTGCATTCATACATTACTTGAGAGAGAGCCTTTCGGTGTTTGTGCCCCAACTATGGAATTCTCTTTCATGGGACATCAGCATGTTTGCATTTCTAGTATCATCTGAGAACAGGAAATTTTCTTGCAGTGACATAGATCAGCTAGTTAATCAGTTGATTAGTTAAGTATATTTATTGATTGCTTTTCTCCATAACAGGACCCAAAGCTACTTGTATCAAATAAACTACAGTCAGCTACAATAAAATAAATATAATTTCAGTATACACATAAGACCACTACAACCCTATGTTGTACTTGAGTCTGGGCAGGAATCCAATAAGCCAGTTGTCCAAGCCCAAAGAGCACAAGTTGCAGGCCAAGAGCCCTTTGGCTCCTACCCTTCAGTCACACCCAAGGGCACATGCCCATTTTCCCATCTAGAATTGATGTGCATGTAAATCAGATCTGTATGTAAATTGTGTATTGGTTTGTTTGTTGAGCTGCGGTGGCTCAAGTGGTTAAGATGCTGAACTGCAGGCTGTGGAAGGTCAGTAGTTCAGCAGTTCGAGACCCGGGTGCCGCAAGACGGAGTGAGCTCCCGTCTCTAGTTCCAGCTCCTGCCAACCTAGCAGTTCGAAAGCAAGAAATTGCACGTAGATAAATAGGGACCACTTCGGTGGGAAGGTAACAACGTTCCGTGTGCCTTGGTGTTTAGTCATGCCGGCCACATGAGCACGGAAACGTCTTCGGACAGCGCTGGCTCTTCGGCTTTGAAACGGAGATGAGCACCGCAACCCTAGAGTCGGATTCGACTGGCTTTTGAGCAAGGGATGCCTTTACCTTGTTTCATTTGACATTTGGTATCTGGATACCACCTACCCTACGATCACAGTGGAATCAGCTACCTAGGAAGGTGGCAGTCTTTGAGCAGCAGCTGGACAAACACTTGTCAGGGATGCGCTAAGCTGATCCTGCATTGAGCAAGGGGGTTGGACTAGATGCCCTGTATGGCCCCTTCCAGCTCTGTGATTCTGTGCTACAGGCAGTGCTGGAAACAGTGAACTTTACCTATGTCCTAAGCTTGCACTGCTGCCAAGAACAATTACTCAAAATCATTTGCAACTTTGTCAAACCATGAATATGACTTATCTCTCTCATATTTACACTTGGTGAGATCTCAGTTATATATTAAATTTAAGACAGATACTTCTGGAGGCAAATATAATTTGAACTGGTGGCTTAAAAAAGGTCAAATCACACTGCAAAAGTTATCCGTTTTGGAGTGCATAGAGACATAGCAGCCCGGATGGCCCTGACTGAGCCAGTCTCCCCAGAGCTTGGATGCTAAGTGGGGTCAGCCATGCTTGGATGGGAGGCCACAAAAGAAGACCAGGGTTGCCATGTAGAGGAAGGCAGTGGCAAACGACCTCTGCTCATCTCTTGGAGTGAAAACTCCATGGTCCTGGGATTGCCATGAGCAGACTGCAATTTGACAGCGCTTAATTATTATGAGAGAGAAACACAGATGATGAAAACAGCAGTTGATGGGCTCTGGAAGTATACTCATTACATTGTTGACAAGTATTTATTCTTTTCCAGCCTCCATATTGTGGATCATTGGTTTAGCAGCTTGGCTTAGCTATGCACAGCACTGGCTGTCTGGCAGTTGTGATGTCGCTATATGTCTCCCAAGCATTTTTACAATGTTTAAAAACAGATTATGCACCGCGTCACTGAATGAATGTTAATTAAAGGCATATGTAGTGCTTCTATAAAAATTAGAGTCAGATCATCTGCATGAAATATTGGTAGGGTCAAGAGGGACAACCCTATCAACAGTATATCTGTGTATATATCTTTGCAACAGTAGTGATTCTTTAAAGAAAAAGTGTCAGGGGCTCCTGCAATTTCCCAGTAGGTCATTGCAGCTTGCGCTGACATCTGGCAGACTAGCAACACCACTGAACTATTAATTATCAGCACTAATGAGTCTATAAAGCATTACCTCTCTGGCTTCCATACATGTGATTTCTTTTCCATCAGGACAAAACCATGCTTGCTGTCTCTATTTCACTTCTCCCCCTTCCTCATCTCAAGGATGTTTTCTTCCAGCCAGTCCATTGAAGTGCCTGTGCTAAATTAATCTCTGTGAAATTAAATGCATCATTGTAGCAGACTGGCTGCAGAAAGTTTTTTTTTTAAGGGTATATTTGTGGTGGGGGGGGTGAGTGTGTGTGCACCTGGAAGTCATGGCAACCTCTGGTGACTGACCCCTACTGGGGGACCTGGAGGATATTCAGAGAGGTGGCTGAATAAAGCCTGCCCCCGCCTCTGGTATTCCAAGGTATTTCAAGGAGGTCTCTCATACAAGTACTTGCCAGAGTTTCCCTTCCTTAACTTCCAAGATCTGATGAGATCAGGCTTGCCTGGGCTATTCACACTCACCCCCCATCAAGCCCGTCCTGGGTTCCGGGGGCAGACCCTTCCGTGGCCGTGACATCTCAAGGCGGGGGAGGTCCAACGTCTCTGGGAGACAAGGCTTGTAAAGAAGAGGGGGAGCGTTGGGGCCTCAGATGGGTAGGGGATGGATTTGAATGCCACTCCGTAAGTCCCTCTACCTCTGTGCTTTGGTTCCCCAGCCTCTCAGCATCCTCCCTGGACTCCTTCTCACTCTCTCTGCATCCAGTGGTTCCGTGCACGTCCTTCCTCCCCGGCCCCTTCGCTTCCCTCTCCTTTATACCCAGTTCCCTCGTCCATTTCCCGTCCCCGCCTCCCTCTCTTTCCTCCCAGCCCCGCCCCCTTGATAAGCTCCAATGCCTTCCCCGTGGCTGGGGTGTGGTCGTAGCTATGCCGGCGGTGGTCTTGGCGGCCCGGGGCCGCACCGCCGCCGTGTGGGGTTTCGTGTGGTCGTGGGGCCTCCATCAGCCTCTCCCCGGTGCTGTCGGCCTCTCCTGCTGCTCCCCGCGGCTCCGTGCTCCGTGGTCGGGCTGGGTCGGACCGTTGTATCCCAGCTGTGCTGACGGGGCTCGGCAAGGTGGGGTCTTCTTGGTCGGCAGGTTCTCTGGGTGAGTTGGTGGTTGTTGGGGTCTCTGGGGGGTGTAAGTTAAGTCCTGGGATCCCTGAACCGGGACACCCCCCCCCAACATAAATATACCCTCAAAAATATTTTTTTCAAATTAATTTTCCCCCTATGCCTGTGGCTTCTCATTCACAGCAAAAGCAAGTATTCAGCCCAATGTGGTGGCATAGTAAATACATACACTGACTTGGACCTCCTTCTACCTAGTTTCTGCAGGTTTCCAGAATAATGGTCCATGTCTTCTGAATGGATTCAGGTCTCTTTAGTTCCTGTTCCTTCTCATTTATGTACTAAATCCCACCTTTCTTCTGTAAATGCAGAATAGCATACACAGGGTTCCCAGAACTTGCTTAGCTTCAGCAAGGTTCCTGCATCATGTCCTTCCAGTTTACTGGGGACTCTATGTTGCCAGCTTTACATCCCCATGGACTTCCTGTATCTCCTCCTTCCACAACCCATTTTCCTTTTGCTTTCTCCTCTTCATGTCCACATCATTTATTACCTACACAGTCCATCGTATCCTAAATGGCTGGAGACTGGAGTATCTTTCTCATCTCCTCCTATACGAACCTACCAGTTTATTAAGATCATCTTAATAAAGGACCTGAGGACCTGATCTGGTTATTATTTATCTAGACCTTTATATACATCGTTTTCACTTTAAGAAAAGTGCTTACAGCTTAATAAAAGAAGATGTAAATATAACAAGAAAAATAGAAAATCACTTAAAAGTTGTATATGTTAACATAGAATTTAAAACCAGGGTAAGAACTTACTTAAAGAAGCCTTCCAATTTTTATTTTTATGTTTTTTTAGTCTTTAGCTTATGTCAGAAGGACTACAATATGCAATTTCAGGGACAGGAAGTTGCAAAGAATAGAGTTGGCTGACAAGAAAGCCCGAACACAAGTCCCCACCAAACATACTTCCATGATGGTAGGTTCCTGTAGCAATGCCTCCTGTACCATCTCTTTTGGAGGTTGGATGGGATGGTGTAGTTTTGTTTTTTAGATTTTATGCAAACCAAAAACAATTTATGTAGACAAAAAAGCAAGAATATACTTTTTTAAAAAAAATTAAACAAATACGATTTGTATGCTACCATGGGACCTTCCTCCAACACCCAGTAAAGTATTTCTGCTGGAGGAAAGCTCTTTGGAAAGAGGAAGGCTCTGCAATTAGCGGGACAGAGTGGTAGAATACCACTCCTAGAGTCCTGCGCAAAAAGCATCTTGTACTTGCTCCTTTTGTTCTTCCAGGCAGTTACTAGGAGCTTCCCCACCAACAACAACAAACCAGAAGTACAGAAAGTGGTGTGTTGAGTACCCTCTGGTGGTCACATGCACCCACTGTAAGTGGAATGGTTTAGGAGACCAGTTAAATTAAAAAAAAATGTATCTAGAATTATGAGGGTGATAAGATCCTTTACAAAAAAATACCGAAAACAAAGAACCACAGGTTTCTAGCAAATATGCTGATTGTATAAAAACATAATGTGATTTGCCCTGCATTCTTGGTTTAAGCCCCAATGTAGACAAATTCCACATAGATCCCATGAAATTATATTATCAAAGAAGGTAAATATCGACAAACTGTATGAAATGTATGAAGCCATTGAAAGCTATGCTCATGCTTATCTTGTAAATCATTGCTGTTTATCAAAAAGAATAAAAATTATCTGTTAAAAAAAGGAAGGTAAAGAATATATTTTGTTATATTTGACAGTGCAGCATAACTCTCTTTACCTGAATTGCTGCTGACTGACAGTACCCCAGCCTGATCTTATGCAAAGTTAGGTACATCTGAAGAAGCCCAAGTCTGTGCAGGATCAAGCTGCAACAGCCACTACTTCCTTTCTATCCATAGTTAAACATCCCTTTAACATGAATTACTTTGTCACCCCCAGTTTTGTTCAGATTCAGTTCATGAATGGCTGTTCCTATAATCCTTTGCTTGAATGAAAGCAACAGAAAGGGAAGAACACTAAATATTTGTGGGTGCAAACTTTGTATAATGACCCAGCAGGCTGAATGTGGTACCAGCAACCTTTACCTAACATGGTGCAATTTTTACAATAGCCCGTCTGTCAGAACCCACAGCCAACAACGAAGTACACGCATTCAGGAACGGTAATACTTTTATTGCAGAGCTATAGATGCAGTAACATAGGCACTGTTAAGAATGGCGGCGGCCCCTTGGGCATAATAGGATATAGGGTATTCATATGCACACACACATACACACAGCACTGGCCAATTAGGCACCCTCCCGCGCGCGGGATAAGTCTTAGAGACCATTAGGTAGCTGAAGCTGAGAACAAACACTCTCCCACGGCATCTAGGGCAATCCCAGACACTACAACACCCTCCTGCACATCTGTATAGATAAGCATTTTGGCGCACAGCAGAGACAGCACAGAAAGGAATGCAGTAGCAATTAACCTGAAAGGAAAGCAATAGCAATTAACCAGACACAGACCAACCTCCCCAGCCTTCATGGCAGCATAGCTGACACAGTCTCAAAATGGTTGTAGCACCAGGTTTCAGTTATCTACTAGCGTTTACCGTAACCACTGTCATTCATGTACCAATTTGTACAACACTTTGGTTCCTCCTTGCAGACACTCTTGACCCACTCTGTGGCCAGATCAGTAAAGTAATTAATTTATATTAATTAAATATTTTTCTGTTCTGTCTGCCATGTGAGATAAGTCAGACATAGAAATAACACACTTGAGATGTGAGGAGTCAGTGGGGAGTGTTTTCTGTCAGAGAAGTGCAGACATTGAAGCAGCAGCAGTTCTAGGGGCATTTATGTACACTACCTAAATAGCGGCATTGTTCACATTCCAATGCACCTTTGTGTGCAACATCCTGGGCTTCACATTATGTACTCACCCATCTGAGTGTGGTTAAGTTGTTTCCATAAATCAAACATCAACATTATCTTTTTGTTCTTTCCTAACACAGGATCGGCGAAGATGATGCAAAAAGGAAAATATTTGTCTCCTCTAGCAATAATAACTGGAATTTCTGTATTTTTGATAGTATCAATGTGCCTTCTAATACTATGGAAAAGATTTCAGCCTTGTAAAGGTATGTTAAATGAATGCTCAATTACGTTCATGTTTTCTGTAATTAAAGGGAAAAGTAATTGATAAAGTATCTTTGTCTTTTGTTTCCAGCTATACAGCGGAAGCTGCAGAGCAGGTAGAAAAACTAAATAATCATTTCCTCACTAAATACATCATCTTCCTTCTAATCTGGATCATACGTGTTAAATGTTTGGATTTTTTAAATTATATTTCTAGGCCTGCATCAGATTACAGACAAGCACAAAGCATTTCAGGTAATATGGAATAATACACAAAGTCGGTATAAACTCCTTTAGATGCTGTTGTGGGAAGGATGATTGATGAAATATAAAATCGATCAAGAAGGAAGTAGAGATAGCAAAGTTATGAAAATTGTACCTAGGAATATATTTAAATGTTGTTGTCACGGCAGGGGCAGGCATGACAGTTGTGGCTTCTGTGGTTTGACTCAGAAATATAGGTTTCTTTTGTGGTTTCTACTCAGTTGGGATAAAACTCTACATGTCAATTTCTTGGTCACATTACTGAAACTTGGTATGAACAGTGCCATCAAAAGTGATGCCTGTTTTCACGTTTTTGGCATTAAAAGCATCGCTTTCCTAATGCAGGGGTGGACTGGGACACTGAAAGGGCCTGGGAGCAAGCAGAGCTATGTGGCCTCTGTAAGGGTCAGTCCTGCAAGGGAGACTTGGCTTGGGCCCCACGGACAGCCATTTTCCTGCATTAAGAATGTTTGGCTGATGTTTCCTCAATGTGTATCAATTGTTGGTCAATATTCCTGTGGTTGCTTTGCTAGGTATCCATAAGAGTTTGTAAACGATGATAATACGTGTGTGTACACATGTGCATGTGTTTCTCTGTGTGTCGAGAGAGAGAGGTTTAATTTTGCTGAGAGATGTGGTCTACTTGTGTACTCATAAATAAAGCAAATATTACAAAATGCCACAAGGCTTCAATGCTTCCAAAGGAAGCTAAACCAGGTAGCATTGCACATTTGTCTGCCTAAGAAAGCCACACCCTTACAGCAACAAAGACAACACATACTCTTTCAGTAGGAAATGCTCTTCTTAGAGCAACACAAGAGCAGATGACTCAAAAGTATGGACAACATACAGTAATTAGATAAGAACAACAAGGGCAATTCACACACCATTTGTCATTTTACAGGTAATGAAATAAGCTTTATAGTTGCTATGATTTACCTGAAAAGCAGGCCACTTGTTTCTCACATGATATAGGGCTACTAGCCTCAGGGGGGGACCTGGAATTCATATGGAATTACAACTAGGGTTGCCAAGTGGAACTTACCTTGGTGGCGGGGGACTCCCGGGTGGATCCCAGAGTGCGAGCGCGCCACACACACGTCACCAGGAAGTGACGTTATGACGCCGGGCACACTTGGGGCGGGGCCACAACCATACAAGGGAAAACCATGGCCCTTGTATGGCCGTGGCCCCGCCCCCAGCGTGCCCGGCGTGCCTGTGTCACTTCCGGGTGATGCGCGTGTCGGGGAGAAGTCCCCCCGGGGCCCAATCCGGCGGCCCCAGGGAACGGGCCTCTGGGACAGGGGTTTCCCCGCCCCCCGGGGGGACTTGGGATCCCTAATTACAACTCATCTCCAGACTACAGAGATCAGTTCCACTAGCAGATACAGCCACTTCAGAGGGGAGAATCTGGTATACAATAGGGTCTAAGAGAAATGGAAGTCCTAGAGTGATGCTACAACCCTGCTGAGCTTCCTTCTCTCCCCTAAACGCCATCCTCCCCAAGCACTACCTCCAAATATCCAGAAATTTCACAAGCCAGAGCTGGCAACCATACATATGCACAGGGCTTTTTTTTGTAGAAAAAGCCCAGCAGGAACTCATTAGCATAATATGCTAACATTCACTCCCATTAGGTATAGTTGCAGCACTGAAATCAGACACCTTAGGAGGGCTATAATGTGCACTCTTTCTCATGTCACTTTGGCCTTTGGTTTTACTGTTGGCTTTTAATGGAGCTGGTATCTTTTAAAATTCTCTTTTCTGCTTTTAGAATATAAGATTTGTTTTACTCTCTGTTACTGGCTAAATTTGTTGGTTTTTTATGCTGGAATTTTTTTCTGTTTTATTTGTGTTTTTCAATTATTTGTTACGATCTGTCTTGGGTGTTTTTAAAAAGGAGAAGAGTATGTAACTGTTTGGAGTAAATTCATAAAATTTCCATCTCTCTCTTGAAGTGTTTCCACATTATGTTTATCTTCTGTATATCTTCAGGTTTTTTCTCTTTTCAAGACTTCACACATGCACAAAGTATTTCAGTGGGACTGAAGCTTAGGTTGAACACTTCTGTCTGTAACTAATTTTTTTCTTTGTATAAATATACATATTTTAGGACATGAGAATGCACTAGATGATTTTGGAATATATGAATTTGTTGCATTTCCAGACCCTACAGGAATTTCTAGGGTAGGTGTTTGTACAAATATATAATTTTTAAACAAGTTACAGATATTTCCTTCCATCTTCATATAATTAACAGCAGTAACAATCTACATATTATAAAAACAGGTACAAAGCAAAGCTTTAAAATGTCCAAAAATGGAAACCATACATAACTACATAATATAGAAAGCTGTGATTTTAGCAATGCTAAACCTGGCCTTTGTTGTCCAATTTGTTTCTTTTTCATCCTCTTTGTGATAACCACTTCCTAGATCTGGGCTTCAGGCTACATTGAAAGCCTGTAAAGCTTTTAAACTTCATCAAGCAGGACTCAACTTGTTCAAAAGTGAAATTACTGCAAAAGAAGTTACAGTCTGTAGAGTAAAAATTAGTTCATAATCTGTTTTACACTCCTATTCCTGTTCTCAGAGAAAACTATTGTCTCCCTTTTTTAGGTTTCCAGTCAGTCAGGTTCTGGCTCTGATGTTCAGTTTCAGGATTTTCATGGTACAGTTTATGAAATTATTGGACACATTCCTGTACAGCACCATGACCAGCAGCAGTAAGTCAAAGAAACGTAATGTTTAAACAAGGCTCCACAAATCACGGTCAACAAGAAACTTCTTAGTTACAGTTAGGGTTGCCAGGCCCCACAAAGTCCCCAGCGGGTGACTTTGGGGGGCACTACTGGAGGGGGTGGGGCATCCCTAACGTGATGACATCACACAGAGGTGATGTCATCACATTGAGGAGCTGCACCCCTGCCTCTCCCCAGCGGTATTTAAAGCCTTGCTTTAAATGCTGCTGGGGGGGAGGCTGTGCAGACCTGCATTCCAAGCCCTTTAAAGGCTGCTGTGGAGAAGTGGGGGGGGGAGGCTGTGCATGCCTGCATTCCAAGCCCTGAATTCGGGGCTTACAGTGCAGGCGTGTGACCCCTGCCTCTCTCCAGCAGGGAAGAGATGGGGAGGAGGCTAGGTGGTCGCTCTTTGGGGTGGGGCTTCCCCCCACTCACCAGCCCCTCCAAATCAGGCAACCCCCACCAAACCAGGGGGTCTGGCAACCACAGTGCAAAGTTATTACTTAGATGGGAGGAACAGGTAATGTCTAACACTGTTTTAGTAACACAAAAAGTTGAAAACTGCTTACAGTTTATCGGAAATATCTGATGCAAGGAGACTCAAACAAGGCAGAAGTGTATTGTCATATAGTGGTTAGAATGCTGGGCAAGGACTGGGGAAACCTGAATTCAAATCTCCCTTCAGAGCCAATCATTGTCTCTCAGCCTAACTTGTTCATGGGGGTTTTAGGCAGGGCTTTTTTTGTAGAAAAAGTCCTGCGGGAACTCATTAGCATAATAGGCCACACCCAACAGTAGAAACTCATTAGCATATTAGGCCCCACCCTGATAGCACAGCTCATTAGCATATTAGGCCGCAACCCCATGTTACCAGAAGTGTGGTCATCCAGCCACACCCACCTTTTGCTTCTTATTCTCTTTACCTTGTTTGTTGTCAAGACCCAGGGCTTTTTTTGTAGCAGGAACTCCTTTGCATGTTAGGCCACACACCCCTAATGTAACCAATCCTAACGAGTTTCTGCTGTTGGGTGTGGTCTGTTATGCTAATGAGTTCCTGCTGGGCGTGGCCACCTCGGGAGCCAGCCGGAACTCCGTTCCTGTGCATTCCTGCATTCCTGCCCAAAAATAGCCCTGGTTTTAGGAGAATAAAGTATTGGGAGAGCTGGTATGTTAAGCCATTGCTACGTTTTGCAGGGTGCACGAAGGCTCAGAACACAGCAGAGCTCCTTTGTTCAGAGTATGCTTGTAAGTCTACAAAGTTACACAGAGTCACTTATCAGCTTAAAAGAAAATAAGAACTGATGTATTCAGGAAATACATACTGGATAGTGCAGCTTAGAGAAAGAGATAGATTCTATACCAGGGGTGGCCAAACTGTGGCTCGGGAGCCACATGCAGCACTTTCACACACATTGTGCGGCTCCCGGCAGGGCGGCTGGGGAAGCTAAATATCATTAGCAACAAATATCATTGGACAAACAAATATCATTATCACTATCTGCTTTTACCGCTTTTGTTATTATTTTTGGCAGTCTCATTTAATGTTAATAAAAAGCAAATTTGCATATTTGCCAGTAAAAACTTGTAATATTTGTCCATGTCTTGCAGCTCTCAAACATCTGATACTTATTCTATGTGGCTCTTTACGTCAAGCAAGTTTGGCCACCCCTGTTCTATACTATCTAGCTAGTGATGGATGTGGATGCAGAGAGGTGTCCTGCATCCATGCTGCCAAAGATGGAGGCTCTATCATGCCTGGCACGCCCTCCTTTAGTCCATCTTTTTCCTTCGGCCTCCTACCAGTCCTGCCTGCAAGGTGGCAACACACTCCAGAACTGGCTTAAAATTCAACTCATGAACACCATCTGGGGGATTGCTTTTAAGACTGTACTGAATGTTTTATATTGTATTTTATTTACTTTTGAACATTGCCCAGAGCCATGTGAACACAGGGATTGGGTGGAAATAATAATAATAATAATAATAATAATAATAATAATAATAATAATAATAATAAATTGCAATAGGGATTTTGTATCAAAACAGCAGGTATGAGAACTACCAAACCTTTTAAAACAGTTTATAATGCAGGAAGAGGAAACTAATTACGAAGGACAAGAAAGCTGCAGTCCTATTTTTATGTTTAGGGCATCTCTTTGCTGTTTTCTAACTACAGCTGACTGTTTAATGCATTATTATCCTGCCTTACTTCCAAGAAGCTGTTGGCCCTACATAATTCTCCATTCCCCAAGCTAGAATGGATATGTCTTTGGAATTTCTTGCCAAGCTCAGGAAAGAGCTTAAAAACACACCACACAGTCCTCTGGGTTAAGTGTTGATTAAATGTATGTTTAATTTGTTCCAGTTGTACATGAAGAGATAAAAGAAAGCATATTGATGACATCTGTTTCTGAAGGTGAACAGGAGAAGCAGCAACAGCTGGCAGGAGAATGGGATCAACAATCCACTTATAGTGAAAGCGCCATCTTGGATATAGCAAACCCTTTTCCTTATTGCTGCATTCCTAATGTTTTTGTATGTGCTTTGTTTAAATTATATTTCCTGGAAACAGCTGCTGATTACAAGTTGGACTGCAAAAGTTGCAAAAACAACAAGCAGAGACAAAAATGGCAAAGTCCTGGATTTGAAAATCTGGGATTACTGCATCCTTGTCCAGCTAGAGGGATTTCCAGTGCTTCCCTTGATTTAAACTGGAGATGAATGTGCCTTAAAACTTTACATCGACTTGTACTGCTGGAGACCATCTATATACTGCCAACATTAATGAAGTATGTGTTCATTAAGAAGCACCTGATTTTTCAAAAACCAGCCTAAATTTTTCAGTACAAGACTGCAGCTGAAACAAATAAAGTGACTTCTGTGACTATTTAAGTATCGTGTGCAAATGTGTAAGCATTTGTGGCCCTTTCTCACACACCCAGGGAAATGCTGATCATCACTTTGGGGGTCAGGAAGCAACTTTTCTCCAGGCTAGTTTGGCTGGAGATCCTGAAGGTTTTTTGTCATCTTCTGGATGTGGAACAGCAGTCACTGGGGGTGTGGGGGGGGAGGTATTTGTGAATTTTCTGCATTGTGCAGGGAGTTGGACTAGACAACTCTGGAGGTCCCTTCCAACTCTATGATGCTGTGGCAGCTAATGCTTCTTAACATGGAAGTCTCCCCTGCAACTCACACAGTACTTTCCCACAGGTCTACCCAGCCATAACTTTCCAATGAGAGTCCTTCACTAAATAGAATGTCAGTGTTCAGAAGCAGAATCTCTCTAGTTACCAGATTTTGGGGGTAGATTATGGGGGAACACTGTTGCTGTCACACCCTGTGTGTGAAAACCCTGCACTAGATGGAAACAAGATCAAGGTCCCAAACTGAGTACAAGGAAGAGGTTGATTCTGAATCACCAAAATCAAACCCACCGTATCAATTCCCCTTCAGTTAGTTTACCCTCAAAACGTTCAAATCCCACTTAGTTATCCTAAATATATTCCCTTTTCACAGATAAACTTTGCTTATGGGTTAAAGAAGCAGGACTCCAGCAAAGAAAATGTGAAGGACAGCTGTTCAATCAGAAGCTCAGCAGTCTGATAGCCAGCCTACCTCCACTTTCATATAAGAACATAAGAAAAACCTTGTTGGATCAGATCAGGGATCCCAAGTCCCCCCAGGGGACGGGGAAAACCTCGCCCCAGAGGCCCGTTCCCTGGCGGCGCCGGATCGGGCCCCGGGGGGAACTCCACCCCGACGTGCGTGTCACCCGGAAGTGACGCGGGCACGCCGGGCACGCTGGGGGTGGGACCACGGCCATACAAGGGAAAACGTCTGGGTGACGTGCGTGCGGCGAGCGCGCACACACAAGACGCTGGCCGGGAGCCCCCCGCTCCTGGCGAAGATACACTTGGCAACCCTAGATCAGATCAATGGCCTATCTATCCAGTCACAAAGAGGCCAAAACCCAGGTGCCATCAGGAAGTCCACCCGTAGGGGCAGAACTCCAGAAGCCCTCCCACTCTTGTCCCCAAGCACTAAGAATACAGAGCATCAGTGCCCCAGATATAGTGTTCTATCTATACCTTGTGGCTCATACCCACTGATGGACCGCTGCTACATATATGTTTATCCAGTCCTCTCTTGAAGCCGCCTATGCTTATAGCTGCCATCACTTCCTGCAGCACTGAATTCTATGTGTTAATTATTCTTTGGGTGAAGAAGTATTTCTTTTTATTTCTTCGAAGTTTACTGCTCATTGAGTGCCCATGGGTTCTTGTATTGTGAGAAAGGGAGAAAAGTACTTCTTTCTCAACCTTCTCTATCCCATGCATAATTTTGTAACCCTCTATCATATCACCCCTCAATCATGATGATTTCTCCAAGCTAAAGAGCCCTATCTTCTTTAACCTTTCTTCATAAGGAAGGTGTTCCATCCCCTTAATCATTTTAGTTGCCCTTTGAGGTGTGGCAACTAGAACTGTATACAATATTCCAAATGAGGCTGCACCATATATTTATACAGGGGCATTGTGATACTAGCTGATTTGTTTTCAGTTCCCTTCCTAATAATCCCCAGCATAGTATTTGCCTTTTTATTGCAGTTGTACACTGAGTTCACATCTTCAGTGAGTTATCTACCATGACTCCAAGAACTCTCTCCTGGTCAGTTATTGCCAGTTCAGACCCCATCAACATATATTTATAGTTAGGAGGATTTTTTTTTTGCTCCAGTGCGCATTACTTTGCACTTGTCCACATTGAACCTCATTTGCCACGTTGACACCCACTTGCCCAGCCTTGATAGGTCCCTCTGGAGTGCCTCACAGTCCACCCTGGTTCTCACCACCCTGAACAACTTAGTGTCATCCGCCAACTTAGCCCCTTCACTGCTTACTCCCAACCCCAAATCATGAACAAACAAGTTAAAAAGCACCAGACCTAGTACTGAGCCCTGCAGTACTCCACTGCTTACCACCTTCCTCTGTGAAAACTGCCCATTTATACTCTCTGTTTCCTGTTAATTAATCAGTTTTTAATCCACAACAGGATTTGTCTTCTTATCCCATGAGTTCTGAGTTTACTTAGGAGCCTTTGATGAGGAACTTTATCAAAGGTTTTCTGGAAGCCTAGGTAAACAACATCTACCAGGTCACCCTTGTCCACATGTCCTCAAAGAAAGTTAGTGAGACAAGATCTTCCCTTGCAAAATCCATCCTGATTCTTCCTCAATAGCTTTTGTTCATCAATGTGCCTACTAATTCTAATTTTAATAACGGATTCCACCAACATACCCAGTATCGACGTTAGACTGTAATATCCTAGTCTGAAACCTTTTTTAAAGATGGGGGTTACATTAGTTATCTTCCCTTCCTCAAAAATTGAGGCAGATTTTTGTGATAAATTGCATATTTTGTCCAGAGCTCCACAAGTTCACATCTGAGTTCTTTCAGAGCTCTTGGATGTATGTCATCTGGGCCTGGTGATTTGTCAGTCTGTAATTTGTCCATCAGTCAAAGGACCAACTTGTTCTATTTCCCCCTTGCATCCTTTTATCTATATCCTGATCTGCTTCCTCTAAGCAATTTCCTTTTTTCCTGGTCCCAGCAGTGACGTGTACAGGAATCTTCTGCCCTTTTACCAGCAAACAATGTTGATTTCATATTCACTAGGATATTTGTACTTCTTATTGTGTTGTCACTAATACTGCTGACTTCTGCTGCCTACATCATTGCCACTGAACTAATTTCTGTAAACAATGAAGTACAATACATCAGCCAATCATACTCACATTATTTAGTAATGCCATAATGCACAACAGCACTGTATACTTTGAGTAACTGCAGAACTAAGGTTGCAAGCTCTGAGTTGAGAAATACCTGGAGATTTGGGGGGTAGAGCCTGGGGAGGGTGAGGCTTGGGGAGGGGGGGACCTCAGCAGGGTGTAATACCATAGAGTCCACCCTCCAAAGCAGCCATTTTCTCCAGTGGAACTGTTCTTGGTCATCTGGAGATCAATTGTAATAGCAGGAGATCTCCAGGTGCCACCTGGTGGTTGGCAACCCTATGAAGAACAGTGGATCTTTTGCAAGCAGCAAAAACAGTACGCATTTTGAAATGGGAAATAAAGATTGTAAAAAATGGCAATTTTTCGGGAAGCAGAAAATTAACTGAAAGAACTGGCTCAGCTACACAATACCATAAAAATACTATATAATATCATAAATGCACAAAGGAAACACAGCCCAATAGAAGCAAACAGCACTCTTTTAGCTTTTGCTTTCTATAAAAACAAAAGTCAGCATATGAATGCAAATAATGCAGAACATTAACACCCATTATCAATAATACCCACACAAAGCTGTGCTATGAAATAATAAGAACTGACATTTTTAAAGTCACTCGTCATCCATGAGTCATTAGATCTTTGTAGCTAAAGACGGGTGGATCCAATGGTTCACAGCAAAGTGGTAGAACAGCATAGCTGATCCTCAGTTTGACCCCGCCCTCAGCAGTTATTTTTCAGATAATTTTTTTCATACACACACACACACACACACATACACACACAGGGCCAGGTTAGTGGTCACAGAATTGCGGGTGCCCCCTTCCAAACATGAAGAGCACTTAAACAAACACCTTTTATTTAAAGGTGGGGAAACAATGGGTTCAGAACTGGGAGTTTTAAACAGAACTACTGTAATATCTCGTGGGCACTCCATGAAACTGCTGAGCGGTCGGGTTAGAACGGATAAAAGGAAGTACTTCTTCACCCAAAGAGTGATTAACACATGGAATTCACTGCCACAGGAAATGGTGGCGGCTACAAGCATGGACGGCTTCAAAAGGGAATTAGATAAGCATTTGGAGCAGAGGTCCATCAGTGGCTGCCACAAGGTATAGATAGGGGCTATGGGGCAAGTGATGCTCTGTCATCTTGGTGCTTGGGGGGGGGTCAACAGTGGGAGGGCTTCTAATGTCCTGGCCCCACTGGTGGACCTCCTGATGGCACTGGTATTTTTGGCCACTGTGAGACACAGAGTGTTGGACTGGATGGGCCTTTGGCCTGATTCAACATTGGCGTCTCTTATGTTCTTATCAATCAGTGAGAACTGAACTATGAGAAATCTAAAGTTTTGGTCTTTTCCAAATCCAGAAAACAATTTATCTGGAGAGTAGGTGATTATGAGCTTGAACAAGTAAAAACTTTTAAGTATTTAGGCCTCCATTTTCAAGCCACTGCATCTTGGGCCCACCAGCAAAGAGTGACAATAACTCCAAGGCGAATATCAATGCACTCCTACAATTTTACTTTTCTGACTGAGGGAATCAATATGTACCGGCTGCGCTAAAAGTCTTTAACTTGAAAATAGGGCCCCAATTACTCTATGGTGTCCCTATATGGATTGATGAAGTAAACAAATCAATAGAACCGGTACACCTGTCCTTCTTACGGAAAATACTGGGCGTTCCATCTTGTGTCTCATAGGCGGCCCTATGTTTGGAATGTGGCAAAAATGTTATGACCACTAGGGCGTGGCTGGTGACTTTTAAATATTGACTTCAACTGCATTATAACTCTGACCCTTCCAGCTATATTTACCAGCTTTTAATGGAATCTGAGTCTTCACCTTGACTAGCAACCATAGAGAATAAACTGGGAACTCTGAATATTCCCCTTGAATCTCTCCTTTTACTTTCAGAATCGGAAGCATTTTAAAAAATAAGGAACAGAGTACTGGAGACAGAGCTAGCCAATTTATACAATGCAGCCAATAAGACCTGCTCTCCTCTTGGCCATGGGATACTCCCCACTGTAGGACTTCTCCCTAGTTGTTTTGAACAATTACAAACCCCAAAAATCCGCATAATTTTTTCTCTTGCCAGGTGTAATGTTTTGCCATTAGCAATTTTAACCAGAAGATTCCAGGGTATACCCCTTATTAAGAGACATTGCCCCTGTTTAAATGGAACTATTGAAACAGTGTCCCGTGTGTTGTTAGAATGTCCTTATTATAACAATATCAGACAAAATATTTTATCTTCAATCTTATTTAGCATTATGGATTTTCCTGATGCATATAAACTGTTGTTTTTACTTAACACTGGTGACAATATAATTTATTCAGTGCCAAAATATTTATATGTCACCGTTTTTATACAAAGCAATATATTGTAATCTTGGGATATTTTAACTTGCAAATTTTTATGTATTTGCTCAATGTTCCCCCTTTTTACAATGCCAATAAAGGGATGATGATGATAAACAGAACAATGTGAATAATGCATTATATTGTGCAGTCCCAAAGTCAGGTTGAAAAGAGAAGTATACGGGTGCAGCCCTTTCCAGGAGGCAGGGGCTGGGGTTCAGCAGGGCAGGTCACAGCACAGGCCAGGGTGCAGAGAGGAACCAGGGTCCAGTCCAAAAGTTGGGGTTCCAGAGAGCACAGGTCACGGGCAAGGTTGCAAAGAGTAAACAGGGTCCAGTCCAAAAGGGGTTCCAGAGAGCAGGTATGCGAAGTCCAGTCAAGGGATCCAGGCAGCAAGTCCAAGTCTGGTCCAAGGTTAAAGGTTCCAGAAAAGCTGATAGTCAGGTCCAGTGCAAGGGTCAAGGTTCCAGTGGTCCGGTAATAAGGACAGTGGTTCAGCAGTAATGTGTACTTGTTGCATCCACAAAACTGTTATGTCTCCTGGGTGATTTTATAGCCAAGTCCTAACAAGCTACACTCCCAGCCAACTCCTTGGCAGTCATCCTGAAACTACTTATCCATCTCATCAGTTGATAGCTGACAATGGGTCATGAATCTCGCACTCCTCCTCCTTTCCTGCAACTCAGCTCACCTCTGACAGCATCGGTGCTGCAGGGGTGCAGGTGAGCTAGGTGGGCTGAGAGTAAGCTTTGTTTACTGCTTCAGAGCTACAAGGCATTGGCTCAGTTTCAGCTGTAGACTGTGACTTCTGTTCATCCCCTAACCTGACCTCTTGTTGCTCTCCTCCTGGCTCAGAGCCAGCTTCAGCCGGTTGTTCAATTACTGGCTGAGGGCCAGCTGCAGGTAGCTCTTCATCTGCAGGATCTGTGCTGTCACTGAGCACAGATGGACTTAGGAAAAGAAGTCTCTGGGCTCTGACAACAGACAGGTTGTGTTGCACCCTTCCAAAGGTCTCTTTTCCTCACGGTCACTACAGGAGAAGTTACACAAACACTCAGGATCAAATGCCCGTATCAGAAGATGGCCACACTTCTTTTTTTAAAAGATGTATGTGTGTCTATGCCTGGAAGTCATGGTCAACTTCTGGTGACTCCTACTTGGGGTTGGACGTTTCAGAGAGGTGGCTTGTTAATGCCTGCCTCTGTGTCCCAGCTCTGGTATCCCTTGGAGGACTCCCATCCAAGTATTTGCCAGGGTTGGACCTGCTTAGCTTTCGAGATCTGACGAGATCAGGCTTGCCTGGGCTATCCAGGTCAGAGCAGAAGATGGCCACTCTTCTGACGGCTGCCTTTCTCTTCTGGAACTTCTTCAGAAATTCTCTACACCCTCAGGAGAAAATCTCTGCAATGTCTTTTCTCTGCATCTCTCTCTTGGGAGTTCAGCTCCCTCCTTCTCTTTTTCTGTTGTCAAGCAACCACTCACCCAGCCGCTCTGTAGAAATCCCCTCCCATTAGTGGGCGATGTGTTTATGCCAGGGTCTGCATAATGCAAGTGAAAATATGTAACAACCTTTTAAATAATAAATAAATATTTTACAAGGTTTACTCAAATAACAGCCACACACATTCCCTTTTAGTGCTGAACTTCACATGCAATGTGGCATTTTGCTAGGTATATTTCAAGTGACTGATGTTGTGCCTTTACTGTGGTTTAGGAAAACAGATTATGATTTTAAAACGATTACTGTTCCTGATGGTGCTTACAGTTTCAGAAGAGGAATCTAGGAAGCTTCAGATAAGGCTGGATCAAAATTTTGGAAGGCTGTAATCTCTATACATATATGGAAGATGTCCTATTAGGGTTGCCAGCTCCAGGTTGGAAAATATTTCAAGATTTTGGGGGCAGAGTCTGAGAAGGGCAGGGTTTGGGGACTTCAGTGGGGTATAATGCCATAGAGTTTACCTTCCCAGGCAGACAGGTGAACTGATCTTTGTCACCTGAAGACCACTTGTAATCCCAAAAGATCTCCAGCGACTCCCTGGAGGTTGGCAACTCTACTTCCTACATATTTATGGTCAGTTTTAAGCAAATTATTCTTGTCGTGAATTAACATTTTATGTGAGCATGTTTTTAATTAACTCAACTGCCAAAGAAAACTCTCACAGACATGGATCAAGATGGGTAGTTGTGTTTGTCTGTAGCAGCAGAAAAGAGTAGGAGTCCAGTAGCACCTTAAAGACTAACCGAATATGTGGCAGGATATGAACTTTCATGAGTCACGGCTCACTTCTTCAGATGTTTCTCACTTCTTCAGATACTTTTGATTATTTTCACAGACCTGGATTCCTAAAATTAAATTCTTTCTAGTATATACATACTCTAATTCATGAGATATTTGGGGCTTTTTTGAACACTGCCTTATTTCAGTTTACAATGATTAGTGTGCTTAACTGGTGGTTGGGTGTGCCTTTTGTATAATTTGTTCAGGAAAAAAAAGGGTGGGGGAATTCCAAGTTCAAGTTCCAATTCGAAAAGCAGCCGGACAGCCCTGTTGCAGGTCATGTGACAAGTGGTTTATCTAAAAAAACCACTTCTTCCTGGACTCCAGCAAACTTGCTTTGCATATTCTTTTTTCTCTTGCAGCTCACAAGAACAGCAAGAAGAAAAGAGCAAAATTTATGTATCAAGCTGTGGGAGGGAGGAATCCACACAATCATCTTGGTAAGTGACCAAAAACAAACAAATATATAAAAGATTTCTTTTCTTAGAAGCTAAGCAAACTAATTATGGAGCATCCTGTTGCTTTTGAATAAGACTTCAGTGTTTCTGTAAAAAGAGATTGCTGTGAAATAATCCTGTTTTAGCTATTGGCTGAATCAAGGAGGGATTTGAGCAACACTTTTGTAAACGAGAACAGAGCTAACAGTACTCTGAGTAATATGACTTTGATTCTAAGGAAACAAGCTGAAAATATTTTACTTCAAAAACAACATGCTGTATAATGTCGATCTGATTTTCTCCTTTGTTTGTCAAAATATCTGTCTATAATTTTGTCTGCTTTGGAGAATTCAATAGGTAATTTGTAAATACTATTTTAAAAAATGCTCCTATCCTCTTTTAATAAGAATACACTGAACAGAAGATAAAAGAAGAAGTCACCCAGGGAACACTGTACACAGCTGAAATTGCACAGCAAGGAATGCTTTAGTTTCAGTTTCCATTTCCAGAACTGCAGCTCTTCAGCAGAGCATTTTATTCATTTGTATAAAGGATTCTAGCCGTTCCTTCAACACACTAATAAGAAAAATATAAACATGAAAGTACAGCAGAAGTACCCAAATTAATGAATGAAGAAAAATAACTTTTAGGTGGATATCATATTAATTAGAGGCTGGAATCCTTTCCAAAGGCATGTGGGAACAAGTCCCTGCCCTGCCATTTCTTTACCATAGTGGAGGATTATACACCACTTGATGTCCCAGGGTTCCCACGTCTCCCCTGGCCACTGGCAGAGGGTTTGGGGGTAGGATTGCCAGATCCAGGATGGGGAATTCCTGAAGAGTTGGGGGTGGAGCCTGGGGAGGACAGGGACCTCAGTGGGGTACCATGCCATAGAGTCCATCCTCCAAAGCATCAGTTTCCACCAGGGGTCATTTCGTAGAAAAAGAGGTGCAGGAGCTCATTAGCATAACTTATTTGCATAATTTATTTGCATATGCCACACACCCATGACATCACCGGAAGTGTGTCAGAAGGCAACACTGGACTGTTTTGGATTGCTAGCTATGGGGGGGGGGGACGTGCAGATCTGTCCTCGCAGAGGAGGGAGCTTGTACCTGAATAAACCTTGGTCTTAAAGGTGCCACTGGACTGTTTTGGATTGCTAGCTATTGGGGGGGGGAATGCGCAGATCTGCCCTCACAGAGGAGGAAGAGCTTATACCTGAAGGCGGGCCGGGGGGGCTCTGCAACTTACCTGGCTGCTTCTTGCTCCTTGTGGCCCAACTGAGGACTGCTGGGAGCAGGGGGCGGGGCTTGTTGCATGTGCCCGCCCCCTGGGCTCCTTACTGCCGAAGCTCCGCTCCTGTGCGCTCCCGCAGGAAATGACCCCTGGTTTCAACCCTGGGAAGTGCGTTCTGTAGTCTGGAGATGAAGTGTAATTCCAGGGGATCCCCAGGTCCCACCTGGAAGTTGGCATCATAGGGTTGCCAGCCCCCAGATGGGGCCTGGAGACCTCCCAGAATTACAGCTGATCTCCAGATGACAGAGATCAGCTCCAGTGGAGATAATGACTGCTTTCGAGGCTTGGAATCTATGGCGTTGTACCCCACTGAAGTTCCTCTCCTCATTAAACCCAGCCCTCCCTATAGGGTTGCCAACTCTAGCTTGGAAAATTCCTGAGTATTTGGAGGGTGGAGCCTGGGGGTGGCATTTGGGTGGGGGAGGGACCTCAGCAGGGTGTATGCCATAGAGTCCACCATCCAAAGCAGCCATTTCTTCCAAGGCAACTGTGATTTTTGTCATTCGGAGATCAGTTGTAATCCCAGATTTCCAGGCCTCACCCAGGGGCTGGCAGCCCTACTGCCCGGGCCTTCCTGAAAAGCTTCCATAGGTTTCCTGAAAGCCTCTATAGAGTCTCCCCTTTTCCTGCTTCCCTTGCCTTCTAGGGTTGCCAGCCTCCAGGTGGGGCCTGGAGATCTCCTGGAATCACAACAGATCTCCCAACTACAGAGATCAGTTCCACTTTACGCTTCCCAACTCCAAGTTGGGAAATTTCTGGAGATTTGGGGGTGGAGCTTTGGAGGGATGAGGTTTGGGAAGGGAAGCAACCATTCAAAACAGGCATTTTCTCTTTTTCCTGTTGGAAAAATTGGTAATAAAAATAACATTTAAAAGAGCAGACATTTTCTTCAGGGCAACTGAACTCTGTCATCTGGACAGAGTAATTCCAGGTGAACTCGACCCCCCCCCCCACCTAGAGGATGGCAATCCTAGTTCACCTGGAACAAATGGGTGCTTTGGAGGGTGGAGTCTATGGCACTGTACCCTTCTGAAATCCCTTCCCCCCTCTGGTAATCATCTGGTAATCTCCCTAAAAACTCTACGGTACTATAGAGTTTTTAGGGTGATTGCTAGAGCGTCGCCCGGCGACTTGCCCAGTGTGATGACATTACTTCCAGGCTACGTCATCACGCCGGGCACATCAGCCTGATCTGGCCACTTCGGGGGTGGAGTTCCCCCCACTGGCTGGATCTGGACTGGTGGATTGGGGGCCCTTTTAGCGGGGGAATCCCCGCCCCCTGGGGGGACTTGGCAGCCCTAGTTTGATTTCTTTTCCCAAGCAAAGCCCACCTTACTCCCATCCCCGAAGCGCAAGAGCCTTGCACGGGACCTTTCCCCGCAGCAGTATTTGCACCTGGCAGGAACTGCTGCAATCGCCTTCCCTTCTGCATTTTGGCTTCTTCCTTCTCCCCAGCCCTCCCACAATCCCTTGGCTTGGAGGGCTTTGTCTGGCTGCTTTTGCTCATTTCCTTTCCTCATCCCATGCCTGGCTGGGCGGAAGGCAGGGCGGCTGCTGGGGCTTGTTTCACAGGGCAGGATTTGCACCTGCAGCCCTTGTGGGAAGGCATCTGTGGGCCGGGTCCCTGCAGTGCATTGTAGCTTTGTCCTTCCTGGACTGTCATGGTACCGGTCATTGCTGGGAGCCCCAGGGGACCGGAGGGAGGGGTCAGGGAGGGGACTGGAGGAAGGGGGAGGGCAGAATTTAGAAGGGGTGTCGCCCAAATAGCCCCTGGCTAGGTATGGTCCGGTCCAGGTGGAACCTGGAGATCTCCCAGAATTACAACTGGACTCCAGACAACAGAGATCTGTCCCCCTAGGAGAAAATGTGTGCTTCGGAGGGTGGACTCTATGGCATTATATCCAGCTGAGGCCTTTCCCCTTCCCAAACCCTCAAAGGCCAAAATAGGCCCCTCCTCCTTCCTTTTACTAACAGAACCAAGTTTGGTTGCTTAGCGACAGCCACTGAGGAAATCCATTGCTTAAAGCTACAGGTGCTCCTTTTATCATTTTGGTTTTTTTAAGCCCCTCAATGTTTTGTTTTGTTTTTAGATTTCAGATTTTTCTGCCAACCTGGGACCCTATTCAGGTTTGTGGAAAGATCTGTCTTGTCTGTTCACAGATCCAGTCACTGGATTTAAGTATCCAAAGATCTGGCTGATTTGGCTATAAGTATAAAGATACTTATTACCCTTCCTCCTAAAAGCTAGGGGAAGCATAGTTGTGCTGCCCCAGCCAGCGTTTAAACTGTAGTTAAGTAGAACTGCCATATATATCTTTAAGAGCAGTGGCTCCTGGGAATTGAAGACTTTAGTTAGACATCCCACAGCATCCGGCACTCAGAAAGGCACGAGGATTAGAGTTACAGCTCTCTCCCCGTGGCCTTTATTATCTTCAAACGGCAAGGAGTGGGGACACGCATCCTTTTCACCATGAGCCAGAGAACTGAGTTAGATTTCACCAGTTATGCAGCTTCAATGTAAGTAGAACACTTCTGAATGCATGTGGAACTGAATAAAATGATTTAATTCTACTTGACCCTGGCTCGTGTGTTGAATCACGTCCAGAAGGCGTTTATTGACACAGCATCAGACAGAACAATTGTAGTTTTATCAGTCCATAACTCTCAAGAACTTAGCACCTATGACTAGCATTGCCAACTTTCGGGAAGCAGCCTTTATCTGGGAGTCATGGGTTGTTTTGTTACAACCAGCAATATGTTAGAGGCTACTGAATTAAAAACTATGTTTCTGCAGCTTTACTTATTTATTTAATTACAAAGAAAATAACATACTGCTTTCTATCTAGTTTTCACAGAAATGGTTCTTAAACAACGTGTAAGGACAAATAATTAAATGTGAAGTGATTTGTCATGTATTTCCCTGATTCAGAGAACACTGATGTGAAGGTTTTTGTTTGGCATCCCCACACTCTTATTAGCCCTCTTCTCTATTTGTGTGTTTATGCATTTTATTTAATTGCTCTGAAATAAAAGTCTTTTACATGCCTTCCTGAATGCAGAAACTGAAGGGCCCCTCATCACCCACTCTGTTAAGACATTCCAAAAGACTTGGCCTACCACAGAAAAAGCCTGTGACCTGTCACCAGACAGACAACACCCCAGGAAGAAGCCTATCCAAAGAATACAAAATTGGTTCGTGGAAGTACACCAGGAGATGTGCTTTGATAAGTATGAAGTGCAATAAATTGCTCCAAATATCTGAAATAAACCAGTAAACTTGTGAAGACTTTTTTGTTTCATTTGGCATTCTCTCAATGATCTTCCTTCCTAACCAGTGTATTTTTGTTTTGTATATATTTTGACTTCGTTTTGTATGTATTTTAACTCTGTTTTGTAACTCTGTTTTTAATTATTTTAATGATATGTGTTGGGAGGGGTTGATTTTAATGGTTTTATAATGTGATTTTATCACATATGTAGGGTTGACAGGTTCTACCTGGCTGCCAGCAGGGGGCTCCAGGGTCCACCTTGGGATCTTCTTATGGTTTGAGCCCAATTTTACCATAGAGTTTTGCCCAAAAACTAGAGCATCACCCCCCTCAATGCATTACGTCGTGTTCTGAGGCATTTGCGGGTGGGGTTTCCTCCCGCCAGCCAGCTGGCCAGTGGCAGAAAGAAGCTCACAAAAGCAGGGGAACCCCTGCCTGGACCGGGTCCCTGGCAACCCTACATGTGTGTTTAAAATTGTTAGCAGCCATGCTGGCCCTTGTAAAGGCAAATGTGTGAGACAAATATTTTGTAAATAAATAAATATTTTGCCAAGCACTCTTTAGCTAGGGCTGCTGCCAGACAAACAGGATTGGCAAATGTTTTTGGGGTGCTCTTGGTTAGGGCACCTAAGCCACCTCCATCCACCCTGTGAAGCAGAAGATGGCACCCACCATCCTCCCCTTCACACTGTGGCAAGACAGCACTCACTCTCCTCACCCCCATACATGGCAAGCTGCAAAGGTGATGGGGCGATGCCTGCCCTCCTTGTGCCCTTGCACTGTGGTAAGACAGCACTCATTCTCCTTGCACCAAACATGGTGGGGAAGTGCTACCCTCTTAATCCCGAGTGTGGCAGTTTGGCACAGAGGTAGCAAAGTGGCATCTGCTCTCCTTGCCCCCATGCATTAGCATGTCAGGAAGGCCCTGCCCACATTTTTATCACTCCCCACCACAGTGAAGTAAGGAGGCAATGAGGCTGAGCCAGGCTTCCTCACACTCCCATGACAGACTCCCCACCAGCCATCTACTGGGCCCAGGGGTGCCACGTCTCCTCTGGCAGCTTAGGTAGTCTCCTAGGCCACCTAGTGGATAGGCCAGCCCTGCAGAGAAAGATATTTGGGAATTAAGAGGGGCGAAATGCCTCTAACAAAGCAGAGTAACCTGATTAAAATGAGGATAAACCACTGGCCCAACAGGAACTGGAAAGTGTCAGAAGAAAGCTGTGGGGAGATTCTGTGGCTTAGTGGCAAGGCATCTGGTTGGCATGCAGAAGGTCCCAGATTCAATCCCCAGCATCTCCAGTGAAAAACACCTGCCTCAGACTCTGGTCAGCCACTACCAGTCTGAGTAGCCAATACTGACTTTGATGGACCAATTGTCTGATTCAGTATAAGGCTGGCTGCTTCATCTGTGTTCATCAACTGACCAGCAAAGCTGCATGAAAAAAAAGCAACAAATTGAACAGGGGTTGACATCAGGATCAAGGCATAAGGTTTTAGCTTCTAGTGTGTAAGTGTCCAGAAGGTGTGGTACACAGATCCTAACTAGAGAGAGGGAGAAATCATTTGAGTTCAGTATCTCATTGCTTTAAACCCCATCATAGTTTTCAAAGTCACTTTATACACTCTTACTTTATGTATACTGTAAGTGGACAAATTAGCACTCCTAACCTTTGTTGAGAAATTTATACGTGATTTTTCCCCCCAGGATATACTAAGAAGGAATAACAGAACATTGCATCATTAGAAAGAAAAGCTCAAGTATGGGGAAGAAAAGGTACATTTAATGGTGCCAGTGATTCAGACTAATAGGAATGCCATAGAAAACTGATAATGAAACTGAAGTATCATGGTATATGTTCAAAATCTGTGAATCAAAATCTATGGCTCTATTCAGAGGTCAGGAACAAATTGCAGTGTGCTCATGATAATTATGAACCTGGTTTACTCTTGGCCTATGCTTGGATCTTCTTTGGAAGTCTTTGATTAAACCAGTTTGGTATAGTGGTTAAGTGTGCGGACTCTAATCTGGGAGAACCGGGTTTGATTCCCCACTCCTCCACTTGCACCTGCTGATGTGACCTTGAGTCAGTCACAAGCTCTGGCACAGCTGTCCTTGAAAAAGAGCAGTTTGTGTCAGAGTTCTCTCAGTCCCACCCACCTCACAGGGTGTCTGTTGTGGGGAGGGGAAGGGAAAGGAGCTTGTAAGCCACTCTGAGACTCCCAGTGAAGGGCGGGGTATAAATCCAATCTCTTCTTCTTCTTCTTCTAAACTACAATTTGCTCTGATAGCCAAGTTGAAGTTTGTTGCTTGCTCAAAAACCAGGATTCCTGAACCAAGATTAAACAATTTAGAACACTAGTTACTGGGAAAGAAATCTACATCTAGATATCACAAACAATAAGTTAAAGTTAGAGTGAAGACTTTATGTTTAGATAGCTAGACCCCACTTTTCTTCCCAGGAGGGACCAAATTAGGTTTGCCAAGCTCCCGCTCTCATCTTCCATTTCCCACCACTGTTGTTAAAGCCACTGGAAGAAAATCTTTTAAAAAGGCTGTCAGCAACAGTATAAAGTCACTTCCAGAAAAAAAACTGAAGTGACTTCAGGCCTCTCTAGGAATTGCCAGGGGATTCCAGTGACTCCTAGAGAGGCTTGACATCACTTCCAGGTTATTTCCAGATGTCATGCCATTGCTGACACTACCCAAACATTTTCCTGCACCATTTGGTATCCTACTGCCCTAGACCCAAAGCAGCTTACAAAATCACTCTCCCTTCCTCCATTTTACCTTCACACCAATGACCCTGTGAGATAAGTTAGTCTGACAGAGAATGAATGGCCCAAGTGATCTTCTGTGATAGATTGGAGATTTGAATCTGAGTCTCCTAGATCCTATTCCATCTCTATCCCCTGTAGCACACTGACATTAATTAGTATCTCACCTAGGTTTCAGTTGTGCTCTGTGAGCAAGAGAAGAACATAAGAACATAAGAGACGCCAATGTTGGATCGGGCCAATGGCCCATCCAGTCCAACACTCTGTGTCACACAGTGGCCAGAAATACCAGTGCCATCAGGAGGTCCACCAGTGAAGGAGAGAGAGTACATGAGCTTAACAAAGCCAGCTATTGAATATCATGAACAAACTCCAGTTTGTTTTTGATGTCTAAATGTAGTTTCTTACAGATCCCCAAAATCTTGTTGTTTCACAATTTAAACTTTTTTTCACAGTGAAGGATTAAACAATTACAATTTTAGTTTCAAATCAAACCTTCATTGATGTGTAATGTGCCAGATAGGATAATGCAAAGGACAATTATGCTCGATATTAAGCACACATGTCGGAAAAATGTTGTTCACATTTTGTTTCTTTTTTTCAAGTGCTAAATTTAATAACTTTGGGTTCTTTTTTTTAAGCGCTAAAAACAAAAGTATTAAGAAAAATGACCAGCAAAATTTGCCTGAAAAAATTGAAGACTGGACAAAAGAACATGTGAAACAATGGGTGACAGATGAACTTAAGCTTGACGAGAAACATGGCAATACCCTTCTTCAGCAAGATGTGACAGGCACCAGTTTGAAGCTCTTGCAAATGCAAGACCTCATTGCTATGGGAATAACCTATGGCCCAGCCATACAAATTATGCATGCTCTAAAAGGAAAAGATGATCCAGGTGAGGGCACTAGCAAAGTTCCTGGTAAAGAACCCAGCATAGAGACTCTCAGTGCCAACTCTTTCATGGAAAACAGAGACGGAGGAAAGATGGAAGAAAGTGCCCGAGGGAAATCGAAGTCAACTAATGCCTATGAATCTCCAGAACCTGCAACATCTGAACAACCACAGCCTCCAATTCAAGAAACAATGGACAACGTGATTGGCCCGAAAGATGGAGAAAAACCACTTCCAGACAGACAAACTTGCCTACCATATCCTTTTGATGACTTCCACAGTGGTCACCGTTATATACAACAACATGTTCTCAGCATTCCTGAGACAGGGCCACTTAATCTCATTGACCCAGCTCATGAGTTTAAACTTTTTACAGATGCAATTCAAAAAGCAACTAAAGAGAATCTGAAGTTCAAATTTTGCAATGAGGTTTTCAGATTTGCTGCAGCATGCATGAATTCCCGCAGCAATGGTACTATCCATTTAGGAGTACTGGACAAACCTCATGGGGAAATTGTTGGAGTGAAAGTTGAAAGCAAAGATATATACATTTCCTTTTTTAATACAATGATACAGCACTATTTTGGAAGAATTGTGGATGTTGCAAAAGATTGCATTAGGGAGCCTAGGTTTGTGGAAGTGTTACAGCAAAATAACACTGCCTCAGAGACATTTGTCATTGAAGTAGATGTGGTACCAAAACACTCCTGTTGTCAATCTAACTATTTCCCTAGTAAGATATACAACTATGTGGAAAGAAAATGGGAATCGTGTTTGTTTATAAGAGATGGCCCTTCTTCTAAAAACCTCCTTAAAGACAGTAAAAAACATAAATTATTTATGTCCAAGTTGGACGAGTTAGCAGCTTCACGAAAGGTTGCTGAGGAAAAACATCGAGAAAACAGGAGGAAGAGAGATTGTGAGGGTCCCAAGCTGGTGAGCCTACTCACTGGGAATAACGACTTGCTAGATAACTCCCATTATGACTGGTATATTTTAGTCTTAAACAAATGCCACCTATCTGATATAAAGCATGTGAACTTTTTGCAGGAAATAAACTTATTTGCTGTTCTAGAGTTAGATCCTGAATCAGCAAGCAATGGTGTAGTCAAAGCATTCAGAGAAAACAGAGCTGCAAACCTTCATATTCCAATGAAATATCAGAAGCCTAGGAATTCAACTTCTGAAACAATTGAAGAGCTGAATCTATATCAGCAACCAAGTTGGATTTTCTGCAATGGTATGTCACACCTGAGAGGTGAAGAATATCAGCCATTGGACCCTAAGTTGTGGCAGCAACAGAGGGCTGCTGAGGTCCGAAAACTGATTGCATTTCTTTCCCATCCAGACATAATGCCAAGAGGGAAAGTTTTGGTTGTGTTTCTCCTACTATCCCAAGTAGAGGATCCAGGTGATCCCATGATTGAAGTATTTTGTATGTTTTATCAAGAGCTTCGAGGACTTGATGACATGCTGTGTATTTGTATTGGAGAAAAAACTTACCAGTGCTGGAAAGACCTCTTGCAAGCCAGATCTATTGAACCAGATGCACTAGCAGACAGGTGTATATCTAATCTGAGCCTGGACATGGTGGATGGAACTATCCTAAAATTAAGATCAGTGACACAAACCTCTCAGAGGTTTTTACCATCAAAAGGATTTTCTTCTTCAGTTCTCTCAAAGAAAGAAGAAGACTGCATGACTGCGCTAGAAATACTTTGTGAAAATGAGTGCAAAGACACAGAGATTGAGAAAGATAAGGATCGTTTTTCAAAATTTAAAAAATCCCAAGAAGAGCATTTTTATAGAGGTGGAAAAGTGTCTTGGTGGAATTTTTATTTCTCCTCTGAAAACTATAGTTTGCCTTTCATCAAGCGAGACACATATGATAAACTTGAAAAGCTGATTGAATCAGAGTCCCAGACCCTGAAACAGTCTCCTACAAAAATTATCAACCTCTACCATTATCCAGGCTGTGGTGGCACTACCTTAGCTATGCATATTCTCTGGGAGATGAGGAAGAAATTTAGATGTGCTGTTTTGAGAAACAAAACACTTGATTTTACAGAAATTGGAACACAACTGACCACCTTAATCACATATGGGGCATTAAACCAGTTTGATTATTTGCCTGTTTTGCTACTTGTGGATGACTTCGAAGAGCAAGAAAATGTTTACTTGCTGCAGCATGCTATCCAGTCTGCTATAACCGAAAAAGGTATTAGGTATGAAAATCCTCTGGTCATCATCTTAAACTGTATGCGGTCACAGAATCCTGGAGAAAGTTCAAAGAGCAACAGTCTGAACAGTATTGCTCTGATACAAAGTCTAAATGTGAAAGAACAAAGAGCTTTTGAGGAAAAACTGAAAGAAATTGAAGACCAGTATGAGCATCCTGAAGATTTTTATTCGTTTATGATTATGAAGAAAAATTTTGATCAGCAGTACATTGACAATGTAGTTAAGAATACATTGAAAGGTCTTGACATTACAAGCAAGCAAGCTCAATTTATTTCCTTTCTGGCACTGTTAAATTCTTACATTACAGAATCCACCATCTCAGTCTCACAATGTGAAGATTTTTTAGGAATTAGCACCAAAAAAGCCTACTGGGGTAGAGAAAGCTTAGATGACAAGATGGGAAATTGTTCCAACATCATAATAAAAACTGAAGTGCAGGAACTTGGTCGCTACGAAGGGGTACGGATCAGTCACTCCCTCATTGCTAAACAGTGTCTTGAAGAATTTAAACAAACATACAAGTTGACTAAAAGTGAGATTACGCTTTCGTTGTTACGAAATAATTTATTTTATGACACTGGCATAGGGAGAGACAAAATACAGCAAGATGTGCAAAGCATGCTGCTTACAAGACACCGAAAGGAACATGGAGACGACACAGACACATTGTTTTCCCCATTAATTGAAGCCATTCAAAAAGAAGAACGAGGAACTGAAGTTGAAAGGGTGTTAACGGAAGGAACCCAACGATTTAGCCAGAATGTATTTCTTAGTCAAGCCTTAGCAAGGCATTTCTACATTAAGGAGAAAAATTTTGGTCATGCCCTAGAGTGGGCTCTGAAAGCAAGAAAAGGTGCACCTAACAATTCATACATATCAGACACTTTAGGCCAAGTTTATAAAAGTGAGATAAAGTATCGCCTTGAGGAAAATGCACAGAAATCTATCATGAGTGTTGAAGTTCTGAAAGATTTGTTGATCCTTGCCAAGAATGCCTCAGAAGCATTTAAAGTATCCCAACAACAAACAGAAAATAAAGAGAGTGAAAAGGAAGATTTTCAGAGAACAAAATACAAAAGAAGGTATGAAATATATAATACATCTGGTTATCTGGGGGAAATAGAAACTGGGTTGTACACTATAGAAATTCTTGAATGTACTCCTCTGTTCAATCAAAAAGATGAGATTTCTAGAAAACATCTCATACACTTCTTATCAGGAAACCAGGGTATCTCAAAATCCACATGGAATGCAGGAAGTGAAGAATATAGAGTGATTCTTGAAGAGTATGGGAGCTACTTAAGTACCTTGCAAGGAAGTTTTAAAAAAGCATTTGACTTTTTTGAGAACTACTTTGTCTTTCTGAAACCAAAGAACCCTGAAAAGGAAATCGTTGAGCTCAAAACACGGAAGAAGGTTCATGAATTTTTCAAAAAATATGTAGAAATATTTTGCAAATCTGATATGGACCTGTTAATGAACTCAAAACTGAGTTCATCTTTGCAAGTGGAAAATTATAGGAAAAGTTTAGAGGGTTCCAAAGCAGACAAGTTTTCTGGGCTTTTGGAACATCTCAGTAATCATGAAAAATCAACAAGCAAACTGGAGGACATAGTAAAGAAGTATAACATTTTGCTTGCTCAGAGCTCTACCAAATCTCTGCAGAGGGACAAACAGAATCTTATCTTGGCCAGTATCATTCTCCATTGCCTCAATCCCAAATCTAAGATGGTAAGACCCTTTTCGGAGCTGAAAGAACAGCTCAGAACAATCCTACAATCAGTGGGCCTAGAGCACCGATTTGCAGAGCCGTACTTCCTAGCTTCCTTGTTGTTCTGGCCTGAAAATCAAAAGCACCTAGATAAAGATTCCAAGCAAATGGAAAAATATCTCAGTTCATTAAAGAAGGCATTTAATGGGCAGTACTGGCAAATGTGTCGTTCCAAACAACCTATAGCATTTTTCTACCTTGGGAAAGGCAGCCTTTTGAATAAATTTATTCACAAAGGAAAAATTGATGACTCTTTCACTTCTCTGTGCAGCAAGAGCTTGAGCACCCTGTGGCAAAGTGGAGAGATATGGAAAACGCCGAATGCTAAACGCCTTTTGCTTCGGTTGACTGGCAAAGCAGAAGATAATCTCATATATGTGGATTACGGCATTGAGGAAGACATTAGAATATCAGCACGGCCTGTTTTCTTAGGCCAGTTGAAGAGCGGCGGAAGCATAGAAAGAGTGTCTTTTTATTTGGGGTTTTCCATTGGAGGCTTGATAGCCTGTGACATAGAGATCATTTAACTGTTTTTCAAACCGTGTTCCTCTGACTTCGTAAATGGAATGCAGCATTTCTCTTGTCTATAGCAGCTGCAAGAGGCATATGTTACTCCCTACCACTGTCCGCCATCATGATCGCACGGGCTGCATCTCCTGACTTTAAAGGGAAAGGGCTCTGACTGCATCTGCAGTACAGCTGCACTGATATTCCCTCGGGCTGTAAAATGACTTATAGTGGTCTTTCTAAGTGATCCATGTTTCTGCTGAAGATTCCTTGGTGAGCCCTGCCTTTTGGTGCTCATAGCCACAACAGCAGTGGAAGAAGGGAGTAAGCAAATAATGACTAGAGTAGGGGTCCCCCCCACCATGCTGCCTCTGGGCTCCATTGTGCCCACCAACACCTTTCCAAGTGCTTTTGGAAAGTGGACAAGGCCAGATGGGGCTTTTGCCCAGTATGGTTTCTGATTGGTTGAGCCGATTTTTTAAAATGCTGTTTGGGAACAGCTGCCACCACAGCACAAGGATCTTCACTGAACGACTGAAAGTAATCTGTGTGTACAGGCAAGAAGATATTTTTAAACGTAGGCTAAATTTAAGAGGTATCCTATTAAGCACAGCTTCTGCCTGAAATGTTGAAGAATTAATATTAGAATTACGCATAACCTGACATTTGGATTTGGCGTTGCCCCCTGTGATGGCAGTCTTGCAGCTGAGCCCACCACCATCCTGGGTCAAAATTCCAAAAGCACTCACAGGCTCAAAAAGGTTGGGGACCCCTGGACTAGAGAACAGGTTGTCTTGACTATTAGGTATTGATATTCCTGTCTGCTGCAAATTATTCTGTTAGCTGTCACCCAGCTTGTTATAGTGCATGACAGAAGACAATTTCTTTATGGTATTAAATCTGTTGCATGTCATCTGTTGTATTGCAAACAGAAAGGTTGCTTTAATTAATCATAAAACCAGTCCTTGATTGTCCCCAAGAATGTGGTTTTTCTCTTGTACTTGATTTTTTTTCCTTGGGGTCTTTTTTTTTAAAAAAAATTCTCATTCACTAAGTAGTAGATTTAACCAGTACTCTGTCTCATGGTTTCTGTGCTGTTGACCCTTTCTTTATCCTCTATATATGCTTTGGACTAATGCAATTTATCACTTTTAACATCTCTTCTTGAAAAAAAAAACATAAGTTATTGCTAGGGCAAAGGAACTTAAGAAAATACAACCACTTGCCTTAGTTTTTGACACCGTGGTTTTATTTTAATGAACTAACGTGCTTTCCTTTTATCGAACTTCTTATAGACTCTCCTAACAATAAAAAGTTGCCATGGGCAATTGTAAGTCTTTTGTGGCTTCTGAAATAATGTTTAACTAACAATGCTTGACTAATAATATAGCCACTGTTTAGAAATAGGCTTTAATTGGGAAGACAGAGAGGGATAATAGATTTCGGTGGGTAGCCACGTTGGTCTGAAGCAGTGGAACAAAGTTTGAGTCCAGTGGCACTTTTAAGACCAACAAAGTTCTATTCTGGGTATAAGCTTTTGTGTTCAAAAGAATTTTTAAAATTTTCTGTCTACTAGAAACATCATCCCCACATATGGTGCTGTATTATACAAAGCTCACACCTGTGACCAGACGTCATTTCGGGGGGGAACGCGGGGGATCGCAGTTCCCCCGGGTGAGGTGCAGGGGGGCACACGATGAAGCCCCGCCCCCTGCTTCCAGCCGCCCCGCTTCCGGCCCTCATTCAGCCAGGAGGAGGCAGGAGAAGAGGGAGGGTAAGTTGCTTCCTCCCCGCCTCTCCCCACCCCTGCCTGCCTGGGGCCAGGGAGGGCCTTGGCGGGGCTTCCTCGCACTCCTGCCAGCCTTGCAGGTCCCCCGCCGGGCCCCTGATGTCAGGGGGTGTGGCATATGCTAATGAGTTATGCTAATGAGTTCCCCTAGCTCTTTTTCTACGAAATGACCCCTGCCTGTGACTCAGGCAAAACTCTGAGGAAGCATTCCTAAGCAGGTTTACTCAGAAGTTCCACCAAGGGAGATTCCTGACTGGATCTGAGAAATCAGCTGGTACCAGAGGACAAAATACTATAATAAGCCTGTAGGCCAGAGGGAAACCAGGCTAACTTTATGCATGTGCCATGCTAGTATGCTTTGATGTGTTATGCTGCAATGTATAGAACATTTTAGTCTACAGCTTGGATTCTTATGCTGCAAGATCGTGTGCCGTCTAATACCAGGTACTAAATGTATTAGATAGAAAAGTTAGCTTTTTTATTTCTCTGTTGATAAACTGTAAAGACTATACTGCATAATTATATTCTTTTTAAAAAAAAAAAACTCTGGAATAAACCTTCATATATTTTTACAAAGGTCTGCTTTATTTGTGTGCATTTAACCACAAGGACCCACAGGGCTGGGGGCTGCTCAGGTAAGAAGGAGTGGTGACCCAGGGGGACTCAGGCTTAGGTCTCTAACAGTACCGAATCACTGTTCTGCCACTTGTGTTAATTATTTAAGTGTTCTTGGATACTTCCTATCTGGTATATGTTAGACCAACACCAATAGGTGGAAAGGGTTAACTTTAGCTTGGTCTAAAACAAGTGTTTATCCATATAATCCTCTGCAAGGACACAGCCTGGGGTGTGTTTGCTCCATGACAACCATGCAGGTCATCAGAGGTAACTGTCTTGTATTGTAACTTAGTTAGACTTATGTTTTTATATTATTTTATTTAGATCTGAAACTATTAGACATGGCAGCTATTTTCCATGTATGTGCTCTAGCTTAGTCTTCCGTAATAAAGTAATGAAGTTTCTTTCCTGTTTAAGGAAGCAGACTGTGAAGGTAGCAGTGGTGCAGGACTAACACATGGACCTGCATGTCCCCAAAATATGAGGAAGGCTCAGGCTCAGAGGAGCTTATGCAGGCGTGGTTGGCCACGGCATGTCCAGACCTACCCCCACAAGTACTGATTGAATGAACCCATATACCCCAAGGGTCTATGCCAACTTCTATATTCTTTTGCAGAGTATTGCGACTTTAGCCCATTCTGCATCTAGCATCCGTTCCATTGTTTTACCAAACCCACACTGGAACAGAAAAAGATGTGGCTCAAAACCACATTCAAATACCCCAGGCCAATGCTGTACTGACTGCAGAGTCACCCCTGAAGGCCATAAAATGGCCATAAATCTTTGCAGACAGTAACATAAAACCGAGAGATCAAAGGAAGTGAAACTGGCATGCCAGTGTGAAGGCTTCCATAAAATCCGCACGGCTTCGAGTGGGAAATTGACCAATGGAAACCGGGCAAAGGGAGGTGCAATGGCGGCGCAGCTCCTTTTTTTTTTTTTAAGCCCCCGGAGGGGATTTTTTTATTGCATTTTTTAACACTACAAACTACAACAGAAAATAAGGAAGGGAACTACATTTAAGGGATAAAGAAAGATACCCACTACTGACTAAAAACCCAAGAGAGGAGGTCATCTCACCAGTTTAGTCATACATTTAGTCTTACACCCGTTAATCTTGCTATCAACTGAGTCAAATTTAGCATTCACTTTACAAGTCTTAAAGTTTAACTGTCAAAAAGAAACACCCCAAAGCATCTCATTTCAACATTTTTTAAAGGCACAAATCAGAGTCCTTCAGCCTTTACTTCTCCTTGCCTAATCTCTTCCGAAGCTTATAAGGACTTTTAGGGGCTGCCACCCCTTTCTCTGAAAGAGAGTCCTCCCCGGAAGATTCCGAGTCCAGCTCGCCATTGGACTTACTGTCCATCCCTTTTTTTCCTTCTTCCCCTGGCCCACCCAACTGGACTCTTAAAAATTCCCGTGCTTTCTGAACAGAGTATCGGCCGCTGCGGCGGGACTGGCGCGACTCGCGCCGACTTCCTCGAGACCACCCACAGAGGAACGAGGTTCGGGAGTCGCATTTGGGGGCCAGGGAGGACATGGTTTGAAACCACGGAAGGGATGAGCTCGAGTGAACATACGAGACCCTTTACCAGCCGTTGGTACGGGATTCAACGAGGAAGGCACCGAGCGAGCCGCCACCTCTCACGCTCCTAAAGCCGGGATACAGAGAACAGAGATACACGTGAAACGGGAGAACACAACTAGGGACCGGGGTGGATGGGAAACACATGGGGAAGATTGTTATTTGTAGCAGATGTTGATTGTGAGACTAATAAAGTGGAGAAACGGAAGGCACCAGGGAGGAAGCTGGAACGGATCGTGAGCAGCAAGAGAGAGAGAGGGCGTGCGCACGACCGAAAACCAGGAACGGAAGCTGGTGTATGAGCGGAATACCCGGCCCGTTCGCATTCTGAGGTGCCAGTTTCAAAGCGACAAGCGGTATCACAACGGCAACGAGACACTCGGGTCTAGGGAGGAACACCAATCGTGACAAGGGTCAAACTTTTCTTTTTTTATCCTTGATTTTGAAGGTTACGCCTTCTGGAGTTAACCATCTATATCCAATTGCATTTGTCTGTAGAAAAAGAATTAGTTCTTTATATTTTTTCCTCCTTTGTCTTATCTCAAATGGAATGTCTTTCAATGTTCTGATGGTATTCTCCCCCACTTTCAGGGGTGCTCCAGATACTGCTTTCAGGATTGCATCCCTCACATGCCTCTTCGAGAAACTTACCACAATTTCCCCAGGCAGATTATTTTTCTTTATGTATCCTAAATACGACCTATAGGCCACATTCATTTCGTTTAACAGGAATTCCGCCTTCATATCTGTCACTGGGGCCAATATTTTACTCATTAGTTCCTTCAGATTCTCTCCCTTAGTCTCTGGCAAGCCCTGGAAGCGAAGAATCATATTAGCCTTTTCCATTTGTAATTGTAGCAGCTGATCTTCCGTAGAAACTTGCTTCTTTCCAGCTTTTGAACTTTCTTTTTCACCTTTTGTGCAGTGGCGTCCACTTCTTTCACCTTCTCAGCTGTTTCATTCATCATTTTAAGTGTCTCGCTTATCTGTGTTTGCTGCGTGGTGATACACTGAGTCATTTTCGACATCTGCTCCTTGAGATTATTCATCTGGTCCAGTAGGGGGCGCATGGATTCTGCCAAAGTCTTTGCCAGCTCGTTGGTTCCTTCTGGTTTGCGGCTCTCCGTTAGTTTTGGTTTCAAAGGTTTCTCTTTCTCTGTCCTCTTTCCCGCCATCTTTCTCGATTGTTTACTTTGACAAATATTTTGAAAATCTCTGAATATGCGCCCAAATGCTTAAACTCGCCTTGGTGAATATTTCCTAACAGTTATGCATGCTTTCTCTTCCGCTCCCCCCCCCCTCGATTCGCTCAAAAGTTCATGCAGTTGGAAGGCGTCCCTCCCCCACCCGCCTGGGGTAGGGAGCTTTCTTTTCTCTTTAACCGCTGCTTACGTTAGATTCACGTTCATAGTTGGTCCTCAGACCCCTTTTTTAAAAGTCATTTCTGCCACTCGACCTCCTACGCTTGCCCCGGTCAGCGTCACTTGAGTCCATTCGGCCTCGCGGCACAAAGAACCTTCGGGATGGAGAGGCGCCTCAATTCCCTGGCATTCCACCGGTGAAGAGGCAACCTCTCATAAGTCCCCTAGGCAGAGCCAGGTCCCTGGGGGGGTGACGAGCCTGCGCACCCCCTCCTGCGCAGCTCCTATTCGCTAATCAGAGCCCTAAATAAAATCCCTTCCCCAGCCCTGTTAACCACCACCACCCCCTGCAGACATAGCAAAGATGAGTACCCACACATAAACTTTGAAAGCATGGGGTGGGAGGATGGGTCTTCGCTGGGACAGAGTTCCTGAATGCTCAACACACCTTAAGCCTGTTGCTTTTCAGTCTGACCTGCAGACCACAGAGAAGCCTGCAGCACCCAGGTCCACCTCTCCGCCCTTCCCAGCGATGTGTTCCCCTCACTCCACCCAGGCACAAACATTATTCCGGTTTAAGGATGAGAGCTAGACCAATCCAAGTATTCCAATGCTTATCAACTTAAACTCTAAGAAACAGTGGAAGCTT